TTACAATAGTGTAACTGTGAAAGCAGCCCAAGTGTCCATCCATAGATGATTAAATAAAGAAAATGTGGTATAGGGGCACCAGAGTGGCTCAGTCAGTGGAGCATGTAACTCTTTTTTTTTTTTTTTTAAGATTTTATTCATTTATTTGACAGAGAGAGAAACCACAAGTAGGCAGAGAGGCAGGCAAAGAGAGAGGGAGAAGCAGGCTCCCTGCTGAGCAGAGAGCCCAATGAGGGGCTCAATCCCAGGACCCTGAGATCAGGATCCGAGCTAAAGGCAGAGGCTTAACCAACTGAGCCACCCAGGTGCTCAAGCATGTGACTCTTGATCTCTGAGGGTTGTAAGTCCGAGCCCCACACTGGGTGTAGATATTACTTAAAAATAAAACCTTAAAAAAAAAAAAAGATGTGGATGCACAATGGCGTATTATTCAGCCATAAAAAGAATGAAATCTTGCCATTTGCAGCAACAGGGATGGAACTGTAGTATAATGCTAAGTGAAGTATGTCAGTCACAGAAAGATATACCATATGATTTCATTCATATGTGGAATTTAAGAAATAAAACAAAAGAACAAAGAAAAAAAAAGAGAGGCAAAATAAGAAACAAACTTTTTTTTTTAATGAGGATAAAAATTGTATTTTTTTAAAAATTCTATTTTAATTTCAGTGAGTTAACATACAATGATACATTCGTTTCAGGCGCACAATATAATGATTCAACAATTCCATACATCATCACAAGTGTACTCCTTAATCCCCACCGTCCATTCAACCCATCCCTCCACTCTGGTAACCATTAAGTTTGTTCTCTCTAGTTAGTAGTGTGTTTCTTGATTAGTTTCTCTCTTATATTTTCCTTTTGCTTGTTTTTTGTTTGTTTGTTTCTTAAATTCCACATTTGAGTGAATCATATGGTATTTTTCTCTGACTGACTTATTTCACTTGGCATTATACTGTCTAGCCCTATCTGTATTGTTGCAAATGTCAAGATTTCATTCTTTTTTATAGCTGAATAATACTCCATTGTGTATATATACAACATCTTCTTTATCCATTCATCAGTCATTGGACACTTGGGCTGCTTCCATAACTTGGCTATTGTAAATAATGCTGTAATAAACATAAGGGTGCATGTAACCTTTCAAATTAGTGTTCTTATATTCCTTGAGTAAATACCCAGTAGCGTGATTACTTGATCATAAGGCAGTTCTATTTTTTAATTTTATGAGGCATCTACCTACTACTTTCCACAGTGGTTGCACCATTTGCATTCCTACCAACAGTGCATAAGGGTTCTATTTTCTCCATATCCTTGCCAACACTTGTTTCTTGTGTTTTTGTGGGGAGATGAGTTGTAGAAGTTCTTTATATATTTTGGCTAAACCTTTATCAAATATGTCATTTGCAAATATCTTCTTCCATTCAGTAGGCTGCCTTTTAGTTTTGTTGACTGCTTCTTTCACTGTGTGTAAGTTTTTTATTTTGATGAAGTCCCAATAGTTTATTTTTGCTTTTATTTCCCTTGCCTCAGCAAAAGACAATTGCCTCAGAAAGTACTGCCTGGGGGCGCCTGGGTGGCTCAGTGGGTTAAAGCCTCTGCCTTCAGCTCAGGTCATGATCTCAGGGTTCTGGGATCGAGCCCCGCATCGGGCTCTCTGCTCAGCAGGAAGCCTGCTTCCTCCTCTCTCTCTCTGTCTGCCTCTCTGTCTACTTGTGATTTCTGTCTGTCAAATAAATAACTAAATCTTTAAAAAAAAAAAAGAAAAGAAAGTACTGCCTGTGTTCTCTTCTAGAACTTTGATGTTTTAGGTCTCACATTTAGATCTTTTTTTTTTTTTAAGATTTATTTTATTTTATCTATTTATTTATTTGTCAGAGAGAGAGAGAGAGAGAGAGAGAGAGAATGTACACAAACAGGGTGAGTGGCAGGCAGAGGGAGAAGCAGGGTCCCTGATGCAGGACTCGATCCCAGGACCTTGGGATCATGACCTGAGCCAAAGGCAGCTGCTTAACTGAATGAGCCACCCAGGCATCCCTCACATTTAGGTCTTTAATCAATTTTGAATTTATTTTTGTGTATGGTGCAAAAAAGTGGTCCAGTTTCATTCTTTTACATACAGTTGTCCAATTTTCCCAGCACCATTTGTTGTAGAGACATTCTTTTTCCCATTTTATATTCTTTCTTCCTTTTATGAAGATTAATTGACCATGTAATTGTGAGTTTACATGTGGATTTTCTATTCTCTTCCATTGATCTATGTCTATTTTTGAGTCAGTACCATACTGTATTGATTACTACAGCTTTGTAATACACTTTGAAGTTGAGAATTATGATGCCTCTGGCTTTGCCTTTCTTTTTCAAGATTGCTTTGGCTCTCTGGGGTCTACTGCAGTTCCACACAAATTTTGGTATTCTTCGTTCTTCTAGTTCTGTAAAAATGCTGTTGGTATTCTGATAGGGACTGCACTAAATGTTTTGGATAGTATAGACATTTTAACAGTATTTATTTTTCAAATCCATGAGCATGGTATGTCTTTCAATTTCTTTGTCATCTTCAATCTCTCTCATCAGCGTTTTATAGTTTTCTGAGTACAGGGCTTTCATCTCTTGGGTTAGGTTTATTCCTAGATATCTTAATATTTTGGAGGCAATTATAAATGGGATTTTTTTCTTAACTTATCTTTATGCTGCTTCATTTTTAGTGTATAGAAGTGCAGCAGATTTCTGTGCACTAATTTTGTATCCTGTGGATTTTACTGAATTCATTGACCAGTTCTAGCAGTTTTTTGGTGGAGTCTTTTAGGTTTTCTATATAGAGTATCATGTCATCCACAAATACTGAAAGTTTTACTTCTTCCCTACCAGTTCAGATCTCTTTTATTCTTTTAGTTGTCTGATTGTTATGGGTAGGATTTCTGGTACTATGCTAAGTAAAAATGATGAGAGTGGTCATCCTTTGAGTATGATGTTTGCTGTGGGTCTTTCATATCCAGTCTTTAATATGTTGAGGTACGTTCCCTCTAAACCTATTTTGTCAAGAGATTTTATCATGAATGGATGCTATACATTGTCAAATGCTTTTTCTGCATCTACTGAAATGATCATACGGTCCTTATCCATTCTCTTATTGATGTGATGTATGACATTGATTGATTTGTCAATCAAATCATGCTTGTAACCCAGGACTACATCCCACTTGATTGAGATGAATTTTTTTTTAATGTATTTTTGAATTTGGTTTGGTAGTATTTTTTTTGTTTTGAGAATTTTTCATCTATGGTCATCAGGAATATTAGCCTATAGTTCTCTTTTTTATGTGTCTTTATCTAGTTTTGGTATCAGGATAATGCTGGTCTCATAGAGTGAATTTGGAAGTTTTCCTTCCTTTTCCATTTGTTGAAACAGTTTAAGAAGAATAGTTATTAATTTTCTAAGAAACAGACTCTTAACTATAGAGAAAAAACTGATAGTTATCAGATAGGACGTGGATAGCGGGATGGGTGAAATAGGTGATGGGGTTTAAAGAGTAGACTTAACATGATGAGCAATGAGTAACATAAGAATTGTTGAATCACATTATCGTACAGCAAAATTAATATAACACTGTATGTTAACTATGCTGGAACTAAAATAAAAAAACTTTTAAAAATTTAGTAACAATGATAACTAAAATACTAAAACTTTCAAAGTCATAAGTACTTAAACCATGATTCTCAGTAGTTTCTTCTCTGCTTAGTTATCCTGACTATACTGCCTAGAAATTATCAGTGTTAATTCTATGTTCTAATTTATTGTAATTATTATTTGAAACATTTATAAAATTTCAGAGCTCAAAAGGAAAAACAGATTAGTGGAGTCCAACGTTGGTCTCCACACAACCTCCTGGTGACTTACCAAACAAGACTGCTAGACCCCACTACAGATCTATCAAATCAGAACTCTGTTGAGTTAGGGCATGAGGTGGGGCATGGGATGGGGGTAGGGGACTAGAACTCACAAACCGTAGTTAAAACAAAACAAAAACAAAAGAACGAAATATTCCTAGGCTGATACTGACATAATCCCTGCCCCCTTGGACACACATGAGGGAAGTAGGACTCAAAGAGATGAAGGAAACTTTAGGAAGATCTGAGAGCAGTGGAAGCCAGAACTACAACTTTGAACATTCATCCTGGAACCCTTTGTTCAGTCTTCCTTTTTCAACTCTTGGTGCCGTAGCTGACAGTGAAGGACCCAAAAGAAACAGGATGTACTATAACACCATATATACTCAAGGTTTCCCTTTTGTCAAAATGGGATTCAAACTAACTTGCATTAAGTTCTTCCTTTCCTTTCACTCAATGTCTACTTAAGTTTTGTTTCTCCTCTTTTCATTTTTCAGTTGTGGAAGACAAATATACATTTGGCTAATGTCTTGTAAAATATTTTGTATATTTTATACTTTTCCCAGAACAGGAAAGTAAGCTTTCTGTCCCTGAAACTGACAGCAGACTAGAACAGAGGTTATAAAACTATGACCTATGGACTAAATGCAGCCTCGTACCTGTTTTTATAAATAAAGTTTTATTGAAATACAGCCACACCTCTGCATTTTCATACTGTCTGCCACTGTTCTCTTGCTGCAACTGCCAAGTAGTTGTGCAACTGCCAAGTAGTTGTGACACTATCTGGCCCTTTGCAGAAAATGTTTGCTGAACTTATTATAAAATCATGAAAATTATCCTCTGTCATTAAGGACAGAGATGGTAATAGGAATCTCTTTTTAGTTATGTTGTAATGATGATTATCGTGACACTCAGTTCTTCTGGTGGAGGTGATAATTAGCAACAAATAACGAAATGGTAGGGAGGAGAAACACAAGAACAACAAACAAAAGATCTGCAAGCTAGATATCCAGGACCTGACTGCATGATAAATATTATAGATATATGAAATGGGGGAACCACCTTGGCCCTGAATGGTGACCCAGTGAGACCTTGCCCTGCCTCTCAACCTACCTGTTCTGCCAGCCAGGCAATATGCTTGACCTCCTTGCTGCTTCCTGCTGTACTGGTTGCACCAAGCATGGCATTGAGTTCAGCCAATACCTGTGGGAGGAGAGCCATTATGTTGGTGTGGATAGCTACGAACCAGGAGTGTGCTGTGGCTGTATCCTTGCAGCGCAGGATCAACGTGTTCCTGCTATCAGGAGAATGTAGTTCTATCAATCTGTGTGGAAAAAGAAAAAAAAAAAGTAAGCTAGATCAGAAGCCATCAAACTTGCCAGAGTGTAACATACATAACTGGAAATCTATTTTAATTTTACATTCCAGAATAGAGATACTTTCTCTTAATTCCTTAGGGCCCAATTTCAGAGAAAACCACATATGGAAAGATAATCATCAGAAAGACTAACTGCGGGGTCTGCTGTTTCAGTGTGTTAATGTAATGACCTAAAATGAAGGAACCTATTGAATGGTCTATAGTAAAACGCCTCACTTTGCTTTAATTTCCATGTCAAAGAAATGGAAAGCATGCTTGTTGAATGTCATAGGCACATTGTAAAGAAGGAACTGATACTTTTTTAAGTACTTAGAAAATTCGGGTATAAGGTATTGCTAGGTAAATAAATGTGACTGCCAAATAGTGAACTAAAATTTCCACCAAGTGGAATAAAGAAAAGAGAAAATAATTGACGAATATGACTTTTTATGAAACTCTGAAACTTGTTTTTTAGGGCCTGGGTAACATTATGTGATTAAATCATCCACTGAGTCATAGTAGAAAAAGACTTAAGAAATCTTCAGCTCTATGACTGTTATTTGTTAATGCTCCACTGAGAACAATCCAAACTTCAAAAGTCACCTTTAGGAATTTGCTAACTTTCTTTACAAGTACATTAAACAAATTTTAGAAAGCAATTTACTGGGTGCTATTTTCTGTTTTGGTCAAAGTTTTTGCCGAGATGAGTTTAAAAAGTCAAAAATAAGTGAATAACATACATACACTTCTGTGTTCTAACAGTGAACATATGCGTTTTTCTAAAAGGAAAAAAGAAAATTCTTAGGAGTGTTTTTCATGGTTGGCTAGAAACTGACAAACTGCCACTGACCAGGTACAGATCTTTTTATTTTTTCATCTTTCTGAGGAGAGATTTTGCTGCCTTGACACACTGTTACGGGCATCTGCAGCACCTGCCAAAGATACGCAGTTTACGTGGATACTAGTGTGCCGGCCTTGAAGTCTGCACACCTTTCTTTTGCCACTTGTCTAAGCCCTTTAAGATTCCGAGTATTTCGGGGCGCCTGGGTGGCTCAGTGAGTTAAAGCCTCTACCTTTGGCTCAGGTCATGATCCCAGGGTCTTGGGATCGAGCCCCGCATCAGGCTCTCTGCTCAGTAGGAGCCTGCTTCCCCTCCTCTCTCTCTGCCTGCCTCTTTGTCTACTTGTGAGCTCTCTCTCTGTCAAATAAATAAATAAAATCTTAAAAAAAAAAAAAAAAAAAGATTCCGAGTATTTCAATTTACCATATTAGTATGGCAAATATTCATCGTTATTTCAGCTCTGGTCAATCTATCCTTTCTTAAGTAAACATTTATTGAGCACCTGTTATATGCCAGCTACAGTGAGACACTGACATTGGAGATACAGTGGAAATAGAAAAAAAATAGTCTATATCCTCATTGGACCTACTGTCCAATGGGGAAGGCAGAAATTCAACAATTAATATAATTACCAGTTACAAAAAGTGGTCCTATAAAGAAAGGACTGTAATAACTACTATGAAGTTCTTGTCTAAAGGAGGCAAGGTGGTAGGAGCAAAGCAGGACTGCAAGGGAGGTCTCTCCACCTCGAGGCACACTTACCCAGGTAGTGTCATGCTTTAAAACGGGTTAGAAACACATCTACCTCATACTTATCAACTCACCTATCTAGTCACCTGCCCTCCCACTTGAATTAGTCACCTAGCTACCTGAAAGGCTAGCCACCAGTCTATCCATGTTTTATATGCCTTCGAAGTTCTAGGGAAATGGCCAAAAGGCCAAGAAATTCTAGAAAATAGTCACAACATAAAATAAGATCTGGGAATAGTCTGAAGCCCATCTTAGTCAGAAAAAAATGTTTTATTTTTTTAATTTATTTTTTTAAAGATTTTATTTATCAATTGTCAGAGAGTGAGTGAGTGAGAGAGAGAGAGAGAAAGAGCACAAGCAGGGGGGGCAGCAGGCAGAACAGGCAGAGGGTGAGCAAGGAGCCCAATGTGGGACTTGACTCCAGGACCCTGGGGCGATGACCCGAGCAGAAGGCAGCCACTCAACCAACTGAGCCACCCAGCCATCCCTGAAAAAAATCTTTAGATAGCAAGTCATAAGCAATTTGAGCTATTTGCTTTTGTTTTGTTCTTCTGTGCAGGGTGCGAAATTTGTTTAAGATTCTCTCTCTCCCTCTCTGGCCCCTCTAAAAAAAAAGGTAAAAAACCACCTAAATGTCCACTGATGGAATGGATAAACAAATTGTGGTACTATACAAAGAACTGAATATTATGTAGCCTTAAAAAGGAGGGAAATTCTGACACATGCTACAACATGGATGAACTTTGAAGACATTATGGTAAGTGAAACAAGCCAGTCAGTCACTAAAGGAGCAATATTGTATGAGTCAACTTATATGAAGTATCTAGAGTATTCAAACTCATAGAAACAAAAACTAGAGTGGCAGTTGCCAGGGGTTGGGAGGACAGGGGAATGGGGAGTTGTTTAATGGGTACAGAGTTTTAGTTTTGCAAGATGAAAAATTTCTTGAGATTGTTGTACAAATATACTTAATACTACTTAGCTATACACTTAAAAATGGTTAAGATGGTAAATTTTATGTTATGTGTATTTTACCACAAATAAAAGTTGTAATATAAATTGGAAATAATCTTAAGTTGGAATGTAAGATGGATTATGGAAGGAAGAGATATGGCCTAGGGAAATTTAATTGGACCCAAGAATGAAACTACACAGAGTTCAGTCTGTACACAGTCTGTAGGACAGACTCCTACACAGGAGGAATTTCTCCATCCTAAAAGCCAGCAAAGGTAGAAACAGAAAGATAAACAAATCACTTAATATTCATATTAACTTTTAATTTGTCCTCTATGTTATTTTATCATACTATTCTTTTTTTTTTAAGATTTTATTTATTTATTTGACAGACAGAGATCACAGGTAGGCAGAGAGGCAGGCAGAGAGAAAGAGGAGGAAGTAGGCTCCCTGCCAAGCAGAGAGCCCGATACGGGGCTCGATCCCAGAACCCTGAGATCATGACCTGAGCCAAAGGCAGAGGCTTAACCCACTGAGCCACCCAGGCGCCCCCATACTATTTTTTTTTTAATGTTATTTTTCACTATATCAATGGTTGCTGTCATGATCCTTAGAATATCTGTTGGCTAAAAAATTGGTTATATTCTCTAGAAGAAAAATAGCTGTTCATTTGTTATGGGAAGATTTAAAATGGTACATTACACTGAGTAACAATAAAATATTGCACTAAAAGGCAGAATCACTTCTGTGCTAATTCTTTTGATGAGTTAAGAATTATATTATTCAGAGCAACTGCTCAAATAATCATTAAAGTATCCAAACTGATTTTAAAATTACTTAATGACAAGAAGTTATCTATAAAATTTGATGCTAGATTATTAATGTGTGAATACAAACCTAAAGCAAGTTGTTTAGTTTCTCTATTAGCTATACTAAATATACTGTATCTTTTTAAAAATTATTTATTTATTTTTAAAGATGGGAAATGGTTTTTATTTTTTTTTTTAAGATTTTATTTATTTATTTGACAGAGAGAGAGATCACAAATAGGCAGAGAGGCAGGCAGAGAGAGAGAGAAGGGGAAGCAGGCTCCCCGCTGAGCAGAGAGCCGGATGCAGGGCTCGATCCCAGGATCCCGAGATCGTGACCCGAGCCGAAGGCAGAGGCTTAACCCACTCAGCCACCCAGGCGCCCCTATTTGTTTATTTTTAAATAAGATTTTATTTATTAATTTGACAGAAAAAGAGCACAAGCAGGGGGGATAGCAGGCAGAGGGAGAGGGAGAAGCAGTCTCCCCAAAGAGCAAGAGGAGCCCGATGTGGGACCAATGACCTGAACTGAAGGCAGTTACCCAACCAACTGAGCCACCCAGGTGCCCCTATTATTTATACTAATCTTAAAAGAAAAAGTATTTCCACTATTTCTAGAACTTTCTATATAACACAGCAATTGAGTACACACATTTCATCTACTTCTTTCTGAAATCCCACTAAAAACACTTAAAGGGGATTTTAAAAAACTTAATAGACTCTTTCTTTTACCAGTATTAGGTTTACATAAAAAAAACTGAGTAAGAAGTAGAACCTCCAAACACCCCACGCTGTCCCTCCATAATACACCCTATTATTAACATCTTGCACTGGTGTGGTCCATGTGTTACAACTGATGAGCCAGCCAATACTAATACAACATTATTAACTAAAATCCCAGTTCACTCTTTGTGTTCTATATTCTGAGTTTTGACAAATGTATGCCATATATTTACCATTACTATACTCTACAGAATCATAATTTCACTGCTGTAAAAATCCTCCGTGCTCCACCTATTGATTTCCCCATCACTCAGGCCCTGGCCCTGATGCCTGGCAACCACTAATCATTTTCCTGTCTCCATGGAATCATACAGCATGTTGCTTTTTGAGACTGGCTTCTTTCACTTAGCAATATGCTTTTAAGTTTCCTCCATGTCTTCTGTAGCTTGAGAGCTCAGTTCTTTTCCTTCTTTTTCTTTTTTTTTTAAAAGATCTACTATTTATTATTTTTTAAATTTAAATTCAGGGGCACCTGGGTGGCGCAGTGGGTTAAACCTCTGCCTTTGGCTCGGGTCATGGTCTCAGAGTCCTGGGACTGACCCCCACATCGCATCGGGCTCTCTGCTCAGCAGGGAGCTTGCTTCCCCCTCTCTCTGCCTGCCTCTCTGACTACTTGTGATATCTCTCTCTCTCTGTCAAATAAATAAATAAAATCTTTTTTAAAATTAAAAAAAAATTTAAATTCAATTAATTAACCTATAATGTATTATTGATTTCATACAATCGTACAGGTCTGTGATTCTTTAGTCTTATATAATACCCAGTGCTCATTACAACATGTATCCTCCCCAATGTCCATCAACCATTTACCCCATCCCTCCACCCCTCTC